TTATATAAGGGTAAGGCAGAACCATTTGCAAGGAACTTTTCTTCTAATTCGACTCGTGAATCTTATGGTCATACTCTTTCTTCCATTCCAATTAAACAGGTTAACCCATTTTAAGACATTCAAATCACTTCAGCTTCCCTTGCTAAAGTCATATCTCAGTTAAACTCTTCTACGGCTTGTGGTCCAGACAACATTCCCAGAGATGAACCCAGACCTGTTTTGGTACCGTTGGAGCAATATGGGTGCCCAAAAAATACTTTTTTCTTTTTTTTCTTTTGTTTTTTTAAAACAAATAAGAAAAATTTTTAAGGCTTCAAATTGCAATAAAATATTTTTTGACTGGAGGCCAATTCTATATGGATAGATTTAAATGGTATGAAATATTTTTGTTTTGAGATGGTTTTACTCCACAGCGATTGGTCTAAACACATTTTTTAAGTGCCTGTGTAGCGTTATTTAATCAGGATCTAAAAAAATGGCAGTTAAAGGTTAATCTTTTTGTAAAGTAAAACATATTTATCTAACAAAAAGTTATCAATTATACCACATAAATTTTTGTGGTTATACCACATAAATTTTTGAAAAATGTTATGGTTAGTATTGAAAATACACAACGTAAAAATGTGTATTGCTGGTTGATGATGTTTATATTAAATTCATATTTCTTATCATGGAGGTGTAATATTTGAAATTTCTGATGGAAATAGAGTAAATCAAAAGTTTCTTAAAATGACGAATAAAGTTTAAGAAAAACCTTGGTGCGGTAGTAATGAAAACACATTTTTGTTATTTGATTATGTTCATGTCATGAATTGTGTTTGTAATGATTGGTTAACTGAAAAAAGCGGAGAACTAGTTTTTGTATTTGAAGGTAACAAACATGCAGCAAAATGGAATTATTTAGTAAATCTTTATGGGTTGGAATTTGCCAATCTTTCAAAACTTAGCAAGTTAAATGAAATTTCCATCTCTCCAAACCGATTGAGCGACAAAAAGTTGACACTTGTTTACAAGTTTTCTGTGATAAAACGGTTGCTGCACTTAAAAATCATCCATCTATTAAAAAAGATGAAGTTATTGGCACCATCAAATTTATTTCTATATTTGTGAAGTTTTAGAAAATGTAACATGAAAGGTGTTGGAGCAGATATTCGTTATAAAAATGAATACCGTTCAGTTATAAGATCACACACAGACAAAAGTCTGCTATTCTTTTTAGATGTGGCAGATGTGGTTGAAAGAATGAAAAAGTCAGGTGCAAAAGGTATTAAGCAGCTTACAAAAGATACCTCAGAGTGTATTACTCATGTGTGTAGGGGGTTAGTCAACATTGCAAGATAATTTTTGGTTTGTGAAAATAACTATGTTATCCTGGGGTGGTTCACAACTGATCCATTAGAGAAACCTTTTATCTAGCTTCGCCAGGGTTCTGGAGGAACCTATTTTATTACTGCTAAATCTGTCATAGAAAAAAGTTGGAATTGATCATGCAGAACTTTAGAAATGGATAGTTTTGATGATTGTACCAATGGTCATTCCTCTAAAAACTGTTTTCGAAGTTTAAATGAGCAGTAGTGTGAAATTTTTTTAACTTGACAGAACTCGAGGATAACGTTCAAGCAGAATCATTACTTTGAATTTTATATATTGCTGGTTATGTTCAAAGAAAAAGTGGCTATGATTATACTGATACACAATTTTATTTTAAAAAATGTGGTTCCTATATTGATGACTTAAATAGAGGAAGTCTTGTTATTCCCTCGGACAATATTGTTCACTGGTACATATTTTGTTTGAGCAGTTATCTGATGAATTTTGTCAATAATTTTTGATAAAGCAATTCTTATTTGTATCAAACAAGTTTCAATTTGGTATTTATGACAGACATTGCTGCACTTTAGCAAATATATTTCTAAAAAATCTAGCAATAATAAAATCTCCAAGATGCTCCATAGAGTCCAGGCAAAAAGCTTTAAAACTGTCATAAAAATGAGTCTTTATTTAAATTTTATTATCTTATATAAGAAGTATTTTAACTTTAAGTTAACTTTATTGTAGTTTTACTTTTAAGACAGCTCTTATATATGTTATAGTTTTTTGCACTCCTTGTTGCTCGCATCCAATTTACTTATTAGCGCTTCACTCGGCCTCCAGTCAATAAAAATTTTGGCGTGTTGTCAAAGCCTGTATTTCTAAAAGGCCATGTTTAAAACTCATTCGGTTACTAACCAAACGTCAGATAAAAAAAAGTATTTTAATAAACTCAATTTAAAAAACTATTACAAAATTCAATGTAATGTATAAAAATTTTTTTTTTTTTGAAAGATTTCAAAATATCCATTTAAAGTAAAGTTAACTTTTGTTTTTTGGCAATTAAGAGTGAACTGTTTTTGATAATAAATTTAATTTTTGAATGAATGAACTTTTCATCTTTAGCTCGCTATTTTATCTTACATTAGAAAAATAACAAAGCAAAATGAAAACTATTTCAAAAGGTTTTTTCCTACAACTACAAAATAAACTCTTACAAACTACACCTTCTATGGTGAATTCTAATATGATGTAATTTGAGAGACCTTAATTAAATAAAGTTGTTAATTTAACATATAAGGCACTCAGATATTATGCTTTTATTTAGCACATGTTTTATTAATGTGTATTTATGCACACAATTGTTTATAAGTAATTTTGCAATGGTGAAACCAAAATATATAATAAAAGTGGGATAAGTACCTTTGGTGTTGAAAAACCAAATTCAAAGGCAGAGGCTAATTTTGTAATGTAACTTAATGTTTCTGAAAAGAAATTTAAACTTTGTTATTTTGTAATGTAACTTAATGTTTCTGAAAAGGAATTTAAACTTTGTGTATCAATGTTTGTGTTAACCTTAGTGACCCTTAAAAGCTACAAGCATTAACCAAATGAAGATATGACTAAAAATCATTGTTGTGGCACTGGTTTTAACTAGGGGAGGAGGGGGCTATCTTAAGAACAACCTTACCCCTACCTCTTCGTTGGTGAAAAAATAACGGTATCCCCAAATAAACTTTGGGTTTGTCACTGTTTCCTGTCATAGTCTTACAAAACTGTTTTCCAGAACACTCTCCAATTTTTAAATTATTATTCTTTAAACTATTTACTAAGTGCTTGACTGAGTCTTGTTTTTCTACCTGCTGGGAAATAGCATCTGTAGTTCCAATTTTTAAAAACTCTGGAGATTGTTCTGACCCCTCCAAGAACTGTCTGATCAGTTTTCTATCTGTTATTAGCAAGGTCTTCGAGTCTTTGATCAACAGGTTTCTTACGTCCTATCTTCAAATAACTTCATATAACTTACTATCAGAAAGTACTGTTTTTTGATCCTTTTGCTCTATGGCTGACTTGCTAACCGCATTGCTCTTGAAATATCTAAAGCTTTTGACAAAGTTTGGCATGCTGTTCTTCTCCATAAGCTTGCTTCATATTGTGGATCTGGGAACATTTTTTAAGATTATAAAATCGTTTCTTTCTAACCGCTTTACTAAAGTCATCCTCAAAGGCTAATGCTTTTTTTTCACTTCGAGTATATTCTGAGATACCTCAAACTTCTATCCTTTATCCTGTTTTGTTTCATATCTACATTAATCATTTTTCTGTCAACCTTACATCAAAAGTGGCTCTAGTTGCTGATGATTCAACTTTATACTCTTGTCTTGAAAAAAGTCTTCTCTTTTTGATCGCTTAGACCAGGCAGCCAAATCTGATCTCATTTCTGCCGCTTGAATCTGATCTTACTTCTGTAACAGATTGGGGCTTGCAGTGACTTGTGAGTTTTAATTCTAACAAAACTCAGTTGTTTATTGCAAACAATTATCACAACAATTTTGACATTCCTATTTTGATGAATGGCAACTCTCTCACTGAGTCCTTCTTTACGTCTTTTTAGACTATCCTTCACAACTGACCTTTAAAAAAAACCATATAAATAATTAATTGCTAAATTAGCATCTGCTAAGGTTGCTACTTTCTATCGTGCTTGGCATTTTGCTTCTCTCTATTGTGCTTGCCATTTTTTTACTCCCGATTCCATTCTACCTCTACAAGTATCTTATTCGCCCCAGTATGGAATACTATTGTCATATTTAGGCTAGTTCTTCAAATGATTATCTTCTAGACTAAGTCTAAAAATGCATTGTAAACATAAATGAACCCACTCTATCTGCTAAGCTTGAGCCTCTCTACCATCATCCTAAAGTTTCATCACTTTCTCTTTTCTACAAATATTATCATGGTCGCTGCTCAAAGGAGCTATCATCTATAGTTTCATCAACTAAAACTCATTCTCATTTGACTCGTCATTCAGCAAAGTCTCATTAATTACTGTATCTGTATCTGCGTGGTCTAAAAACTTTTGTTCGTCTGTTTTTCCCCTTCAACCCTTTGGAACTCTCTCCTATCTTTATGTTTTCCTGATTTATACAACCTACAACTTTCCAAGTCTTTTGTCAACCGTTTATTTGCTCTTCAACTGCAATCTTTTTTTTTCTAGTAAAAACAAACTTAATAGTGATTGCTTGCAGCCATTGGGAGTGAATCAGAATAAAAAGAGTTAACTAAATAACAATTATAATCAATTTATAGATTTATTTTTAAATTGTAGTTGTAATTAGCAAGATATATTAGCACTGATTGCTTACTAACTTTTATGCAGTCGTGAATTTTTTTATAGACAGAGTCGGCACTGCCCAAGCTTTAAATAATAATGTACTAATGAAAGTCTCTAAAATATTATTTCCTACAAGGTCATCCATGCTTGATCCAACAATGCTTTCATAAATACTTAATCATAAACACTTAAAATGGGATAAAAATATTGATTTACTACCCATCGTTTAAAAAATATCCACTGTCTTGTATGTATATCTTCCATTTTCTTGTATGTATATCTTCCATTGTCTTGTATGTATATCTTTCATTGTCTTGTATATATATTATAGTATTATTATAAACTTTATTTTTAGTTACTGCAAATCAAATCAAGCGGTTGTATAGCAGATTCTGCAATCTTGATAAGGGAAACAAAGCTTTTTTAAGGTTTATTTTTTATAAAAATTTACTTCAATAGTTAATTGATATCCAATAAATAGCATCATGGTTTTTATTATTTTAAAAAGTATGAACCAGAACTAAAAAATACTGCTTTGCTCAGGATATTTTATTGTTGTTTATTTTTGTCGATAAAAACTCTTTCAATTCCACTATTACTTCAAAAATACAAAGAAATTTATTTTTTAACAGCCAACGCATAGCTATAAAAAACAGCTTAATCATGTTTAACCTCGTTTTCACCACAGAGTGGAGAAAGTAAGGCTAATTTAAAAAAAAAAAAAAGTGTATAGGAAGGGACACAAGACACTGTTTATTACTTTTATAACAATATGAACTGGGTTATTCCATATGAAATCACCTAGTTTTTCAAAAGTGCTCCAGGGTCCCACCTCAAATTTGCTTCAAATTTTTACCACCTACTGTTTTTAAGAAAAAAACACAATCCAGAAAAGTTTCACTTTGATTGACTAAACTATTCAAAAGTTATAATTGAACCAATATTGTCCAAAATTGAGTATCTGGAGCTCACAATAGAATTTTTTGATTTTTAATAGTTCTTAACTTTTCAAATAAAAAAGATGATTACCTTAAATTTTTTACAGTAACAGTTTTTCATCCAAATAATCTATTTTTGCAATCTGTTTTTGACTGATTTTAAACAATTTTTGAGTTCTCTTATCTTAAAGTTGCTAAATAACGCAAAATTAGAAAAAATTTTGGAAACTTTAATGTGCTACAGTTCAATACCAACAGACAGGCCAATTTTTTGTTACTTAGGGTAACCACCTACTGTAAAAATCAAAATTATGCATTAAAAGTTGAGATTGCTTCTACATTAACTATCTTATAGCCTGACTCGCAACATTTTCCGCTATATCTCTAAGTCTTCCCGGAAAGCGCGTTGCACGCTGTGTTAGTCAACATTTAAAGTAATTTTTTTAGACAACTTGACCACATTTTTATATAGTAAGCGTTTTGAGAATTTGTTGCAAAATAAACATATAAGAAACTTAGTATAAATTAGTAAAAATTTAAACTTCAGTCCACAGAAATAAGGTTGGCATTCACTATTTAATCGTAAGTTTTTTCCACACCTTAGAATTTAAAAACTTAGCAGAAAAACAAATGCTATATTTAAATTTAAATAAAATAACTAAAATAAAAACATAAAACAATTGTTCTATTGAAATTCTAAATACAGTTGTTAATATAAATTAAAAAATTAACAATTTATTTAAATTTTGAATAAAACTATTAAAATAAAAATGCTAAAATAAATGTTCTATTTAATTTCTTAATAAGTTATAACTGAAAAGATAATATTTTATTTCTAAATAAAATACCTATAATAAAAACGGCAAAACAAGCTTTGTATTTAAATTCTGAACAAATTAATCTAAAAACAAACATTTTATTTAATTAAATAAAACATTTGTTTTAATGCTGAGTTTTTTAGATTAATTTGTTTTTATTAGAATTTAGTTAAGTTCTAAATACAACTAAAATAAAGTAAATTCTAACTAAAATAATAGAAAATAAAAAAGCTGTGGTTAGAGTTGTATCTCAGAACCAAAAGGCTCGCAGTTCAACGCCAGCTCTAGCCCAATAAGCAACATCGGTAAGGAAGGAGGCATGAATTTCCTTGTTAAGTGCTGCTCTGTGGTGCTCTGTGATAATACCGCAAGGATTCTAAAAGCACTTTATTAATGTTTTTTTTCAATTCTAAACAAAATAATAAATTAAAAAAAAAAAAAAATTTTTTGGGAGAAGGAACATTTCATTTAAATTGTAAACAAAACAAATAAAATAAAAACTGGAAAAAGAATCTTTATTAATTCTAAATAAAAAAATTAAAATAAAATCGGCAAATCTAATGTTTTGTTGAAATTTCTAATAAAATGGTAACATGCATTAATTTAAATTTAATTTTTTATATAGCCTACTTAGCTGTAGTGGTTCCCATAAAGGTAGATGAAGAGATTTTTTTTACTTTTTTTTTTATTATTAACATGTATTGAGTAATTTAATATGGCTCAATGCCTTTTTTGCATTAACCTGTTTTGTCGATTAGGACAGATTATTTTTATTTTGATACTACCTTTAAGGTTTACAAGTTTCTCCTATCTTTAGCCACAATTAAATTATGCTTTTTTATTTCAGAGTATTCTTTCTTTTAGGTAAGTGTTTTTTTTTTTTTTTTTTTTACAAGCATATAGAATCAGCATACATTAAACATTATTAATTTTAGCCGAGATGATTTTAAGCGTATTCCTGAGTTAGCAATTAATCCATTGGGTGAACGTATTATTGAGCTTTTTTTTGGGTAAGATATATATTCCTTTTTTTTATACAAGTTAAACTTTTAATACGTTTTGTAACAATCAAAATGAGATTTTTTAACCAAGTTTATTGTTTCTTATGTACTATGTTTTCCTATGTGCTATTTCCTGCATGTTTATTTCCTATGCCTTTGCACTTGCAGATGAATTTAAAGTTTTATTTATAATTCTATTTTTTAAAATAATCTATATGTGAAGAAAGAAGAAAGCAGTTTTATTGTTTTTATTTTTTCCTAAATATTGGTCAACAATAAAAAAACAAACTATATCTGATCTTTTTGCTTTATATATATATGTATATCCAGTGCTCAAAGTGGGACTGGATGAGGTAAGATGTCATCCCGTTACCTTTTTTTATAAAATATATACCATCCTTTTTATAAATCTCTGTATATAACAATGATTAGGCAGAATGGTATTTTTAATTTACTGAATACCGTCTTGTTACTTTTTTTTCTCCGCTTCAAGCACTGTGTATATCAATGCTGTGACTAAAGAAATGTATATCAATACTGTGACTACAGAAATGTTTATATATCTATATCAATGCTGTAACTACAGAAATGTTTATATATCTATATCAATGCTGTAACTACAGTACGTCTTTAAAGTATATCAATGCTATGACTACAATAATATCTTTTTAAACAGAACTTTACTATAAATGTTATAAAGAATAGTTATTATTAATATTCTGTAAAGATAAATGCTATTTCTGTAAAGATAAATATATATATATATATATATATATATATATATATATATATATATATATATATATATATATATATATATATATATATATATATATATATATATATATATATATACTTATTTATTTATTTGGCTAAAACATAAGTCCTCTGCATTAAATCATTTTTCTTTGCTTGTTGTCATTCTATCTGGAGCATCTCTCACCATGGTCTAGTAATAGTCTGCTAAGATACATCTGCAAGTAATAGTTTGCTGTTTCCATTTTAAATATGTTTCTAAAATTACATCATCACCAACTTTCAGATTCTTTAAGTTCAGCATCGTTTAAAGATTTAATTTTGGATTATATTACATAGTAATAGATTTTCAGTATTAAAATTTAAAAGGCATTTTTATATTTTTAACTGATAGACCATTTTTGTATTTATATATATATTTTTAATCATCTATGTAAAGCTCTGATATTTTCTCAAAAATTTGAAAAAAAAAGTTATTTAGAAAAACCACAAATAATGAGCCAAAACAGATTCTTGGTAAGGTATTAAAATTACCTTTTTTTTGAATAATGGTTTTATATTTACTGATCTCCATTGAATCGGTTGTACATATTTGTTTAATGACTGCTTCATTTTCATAGTTCAAAATCTATCCATTCATCTAAAACAAAAAAAATGTCTTTGAAGCCTACTTCAACAACAGTAATGGCAACAGCAACTTCTGAATCCAAGTCTGAGACAGAATATCAAGAGTCTGAAGATTCAGAAGAACAATTCACAAATACCAGCAAAAACTACAGCATATCCAAAACTGCAACCAAATTAGTAACATCTTCAAAGCTATCAAACAGCAAAATATAAACCATTTGCCAACAGTTATCTCAAGATAAGAATGACATTCAGACACCTTCACAGTCTGGTATATTCATATCAACTATTAAAGAAGCTATTACACTTAAAGAAGAAAAGAAGAAATCACTACATTTAGAAAGCTGGTCGCTGCACTTTGATGGTAAACATATTTGTCACTAAGAGTATCAAGTATTAGTGTTGAAGTTGTTAGTGTTGAAGAATAAACAAAGAGATGTTAAGTTACAAGCACTAAACTGGTAAAAGTAAAAACTGGTAAGGTAAAAACTGGGAAAAGGTTGTTAAAGGTATAACAGCTATTCTCTAATTTATGGAAGAGTATAAAGATGATTTTAGCAAATACAAATGTAAACACTGAAAGAAGGAATGGAATTATCAGTCAGTTACAAAGGCGTTTTAATGAAAAGAACCACAATTCATTGGTTGTCAACATCATATTTTTGACAGAGTCCTTAACACAATGATGTTTGAAGAACTTGGAGGAAACAACATGTTGCCCAATATTGATTATCTGTTTATCCCAGAACTTGTAAAGAACTAAATGTACTTGAACAACATTGTGGTGTGATGATATGAAATTTCTATTTCATTTAACTTGTGTATTATACTTTTTTTGAAAAATCTGGATTATTTTCTAAAGTGAAGTTTAAGAAAATTTAAATAATGTAAGATTTTTTTAAACATCTTCATTTTCAACAAGGCTGCAAGCAACCACTAATTAGTGTTGGAAGTTACTGGAAGAGAAAAGATGAAGATTGTAGAGCAAGATAACGATTGACGAATAAGAGTTTTTGGACTTAGGAACAGTAACAGAAAAAGGATGATACTTAATTGAATGACAATTAACACGAGAATGAATTTTAGTAGATGGCACAAGAGATGCTAGCTCTTTGGAGTAGTGTGCCCAATATAGTATTTGTAGAAAAGAGAAAGAGAAGCAACATTATGACAATGTGATAAAGGTTGAAAGTTGGCTGCAAGTCCAACTATATTTACAATGCGTTTTTGCATCTTGTCTAAAAGAGAAAGGGCATTAGTATGGAATACTGTTGCCATATCTGTCCCAGATATGGCAACAGTATTCCATACAAAGCCAGATTTGATATTAATAGAGATAGAGAATAAATTCCAGAATAAGAAAATTTTGAGGTCGATAAAGAGATGCAACTTTAGCATATGCTAATTTTGAAAGTAAGAGTAAATCCTAGAAGATGAAGGGTAGATGACTCATCAAGTACATTACCGTTCATAAATATAAGAAGGTCTAAATTATTGCGATAATGATTAGCTGAAAAAAATTGAGTTTTATCTGAATTAAAGTTCACCAGCCACTGTGAGCCCCATGCTGTAGCAGAAGTGAATGATGATTAACACGAATCAGAAGTCAAGCTCAAATGCCCGCTGCAAGCAATTAGAGGGAGTTGGCTTCTTATCATAACAAAAATAAATGGTAGTATCATCAGCGAACAATGCCACCATAGATGTGAGAATATCTGGAAGATTGTTAATGTAAATTAAAAAGAGTATAGGGCCAAGGATTGAACCTTGAGGAACCCCTGAGGTTACAGAATAAGAAGAAGAGTGCTGTCCATCAAGGACAACTTTTATACTATGATTGGAAAGGAAGGATTCAATAATCTTAAAGATGTTTCCCGATACACCGTAAGAAGAAAGCATATGGATCATCACTCTTAACCAAAAGAGCTACTGCCTTGTGCTGGTGTGGAATGATGTGCTATGAAGTGAGATTTCAGATCCGAGCACATAGTCAGCGTAATTTGTTAAACATAATTTAATGCAAAGACTATTTAGTAGGAGTAAAAGTTAGCAACTCAGGAAAAGGGAATAAAAACTCACACTCTAGTCATCTTTTAGCAAATGATGAAACAATGGTCTATGAGTAAACAAGTCAATAAAAATCCGCTGGTTTATAATCGTATTCATAACTAAAATAATCGCACCATACAAATGTCTAATAAATGTGGTACTGTATATGTTCTAAACTCTAGATAAAAAATTGAGAATTGATAATCACCTGTGTAACATAAAAATATATAAATGTTGTTAATGTAACAAATACATAATAAAAAGCTTACAAAGCACAAAAATACATGGGTTTAAGAGGTAAAAAATGTTGGTGCCGTAATAACCAATTAGAGTTAAGTAGTGGATAAATGGTGATCCCCTTCCTCAGGAATGCACTGCGATCACCAATGATGTTTCGGAGAGCCCGAGACCTGAACTAACGTCACTCGCCAGGAGCGTGTCCTACCACCAGATCTCACCGCCTGCACTTTACGTCATGCTAGTCAATATTGCAATATAATAGGACTACACTTCAAAAGCCAAAAAACCCAATCCCTATCCCAGTTTTTGAAAACAGCTCCAACATTCTTAGAGATCTCGTGAGGGTTGGGAGGAATGCCCGTGGTGTGACCATAAACAGATATGTAAACACATATAAATATAAGGTGCCCTTACATTAAAAGAAACAAACTTGTACATATGTACGTATGCGCGTGTGTAAATAAACAATTATAATGTGTAGAAATAACAAAAAGCGAATAGAAAATAGTAATTAATTATTGATAGTAACTTACCGTTTCTTTTATGGCTGAAATAAGTATTATAAATATAATAAGTAAATACCACTCATAAGCATTGATACTAAGTTAAGATGTTTTGTGGTTAGTACGAAAGTAGTTAAACGAAAGTATGATAAAAAATATATAACTCTAAATAGTATGTTCTCATATAAATCTTGCCTGGTAAGTAGAGACAATAGCTATCACATAAAACAGATTCCGAGTAATTAAAATAACAATTAGATAAAAAAAAAATATATAGGAACATTAAATCAGTATGCAGAAAATAATGAGGAAATAAAAAGAAGACAATATATGCGATTTTAAACTAATAGCTTATAACCACTAAAAAATGTAACGTTAAAAAACAATATTGTTGACAAAATGACCAAACGAACGTTAGTGAAGATTGTATAGTGCAAATCACAACAAACTAACTTAGCGACCTCAAATCAAGAAAATTAGATAGAAACAAAAAAACCTAACGAAATCGTGATTAGTCTAAACTTATCTAATGAAATTGTTCAGTATATTCCAACCAAAAATACATTTGTTATAAAAAATACGCTAATACGTACTTTTGTGTAAAATTTTCGCGCTGTTATACTTCTCACAAATATACAGCCTCATTCACACAAAACACAAATCTGAATAAATATACAAGGATAAGGTAAAAAAAAGATTATGAACAAAAGTATATAATAAAGAACAAATATTTGATATACTGGTTTTAGAGGCTGTTGATGTCTACAGGTGTGATGGTGTAGTGCATTAGTATGTATTGATCGTCTAGTATGGTCTCGTTATGTCTTCGTTCAT